GTGTAGATGATCCTGAGCTCCATGCACCGGTATCAGCCGCGGCTGCATGTGATTCTGGTGGACCGGAGCCGCGACAGTCAGCGCTTCGCTCACCGCAACTTCTGCACCTTCAGCTTCCCAGAGACCCGCTTCATCGCAGTCACCGCCTACCAGAACCACCGGGTACCAGACACCCAACATCCATCCACACACATGAGCCCAGGACTACCACGCAGGATTCAATTAGTTATTGAGCTGTTATTAAGCTTAAATGTCTAGGCTAGCAACTTTTAATGTTTATTTATCCATTTAAATGATATTCAGGGTCCCTGGGTTGGTTTCTCAGTCAGGATTTGTGTTTAAATAGTTTATGGTGTCCTGTTATAAGAAACTGTTGCTCATGGTTTGGTAATGACTCAAGAATTCAAGTACGAATCCTTCAGATGTAATTACTTATCCTTCGGAACAGTATTCTAGAGTAAAGGGCATGAGAACTCCCTATAGTGACTGCAGCCACTGTAAGCGTTTGAGGTTTTGGAAAGTAATTCCTTCCTTCTGATGGATTTGGTAACGCTTGAGTCATTATTAGTAAGTAACCATAATCTTCCAAATAATTAGTCATTCCTTTAGGACGATGTAGTAACACCTGAGTCATTATCAGTGGGATACCATCATTCTTACAACAGCTATTAATGATGATCTAATATTAACCTAACCATTCATAATGGAAAAAAAAACATATTGCTAGTGAACATATTTCTATATTTCTGTGAGGCACGTTAAATACATAAATCACTGTATGACCGATGACTCAAAATGTTCCAGTATCTCAACATCTCTTCAGTGAGAATTGAGGAACTAAGCTGCCTTCTCTTTCTTTAAGTAGTGTGAAAAAATTCACTACAAATAAACATGAAGTTCAGAGTGTTAGCCACAAGAGTAAGATCCGGAAAACTGCATTTAAAAAAACGAACCTATCTAATCTGTTAGAACTGTGTAACTGGTTCAGTGAATGAACAGTTATTTATCTGAAGCTGCAGTGAATCTGATGCTCATGTCTGTCCTGTCACAGATCACCCAGCTGAAGATCGCTTGCAACCCCTTCGCCAAAGGCTTTCGTGCAGCTGATTCTGAAAACAGGTGAACAATTATAGTGTAAAACATTATACCAGAGTCTGTAAGTCCTGAGATCAAACCTGACTGTGGCTGTTTCTGGCTGAATGAAGGACCATCACCTTCAGCCCAACCTTGCAAAGACAGAACTGCTCGTGGTCTCAGCCAAACCATCACAACCTCTCTATACAGCTGGGTTCATCAACCATAACTCCTGCCAGGACAGCTAAGCTTCACAGACCGTAGTGCTACAACGGCCCGGTCCTGCAG